TTTGTCAACTTTACTTTATTTTCCATTTTATTTAAATTTTTCAAAGGAAAACTCACTATCTTTACTTGTCATTTTGTCACTTGTGGTTCCTTTGTGATTGTTCAACAAATCTTTTAGAGTTTGCCATTGTTCAGAACTTAGTCCACTCAATGCATTTACGTTAGTCCTGTTGGTTTCTCCATTCACTTGCATTGCATTTGCTCGAAAACCTCCATTTCTTCCTCCAATCAAATTTCCTGAATTATCTTTTGCATGCAAGTCATATGGTGAAGGTATCTTTTTCACCAATTCGGTCTTCTTCTCGATCTCAGCTTTATTCATGAGAAGAGTTTTGTCACAGTTCTCACCGAGACTTTGTACGCTCTGATACCATAACAAAGTTATGGAAAAGAATCGTCCCGCATTCTATTGATCAATAGATAATTATATACAAGTATACAGGCTAAATTATCTCCTTCATATCCTTGATATGATTTGGCATTATTCTACAATAAAAGAGAATTAAAACAGATAAAATATATACCAAATTAAATATTCTAATTGAGGAAATAATCCCAAGAATTATGCATGAGAGCATAACCCGTATAGCATATCCTTATAGCATATCCTATATTAATGAGAAAACTTAAATGAGTTAAATCTGCCCGTAACCCTTTCTCAAACAAAAAGCTACACCATTATTTTATTCTCATCCGCCACATACGTGACATGCAGATTACCTCTTGTTCCTTCCCTTCATATTACATTTCTTTTTTATTTATAAAATAATAAGAGATATTCTATTCACAGTATAATAATAAAAATTATATAATATCCTATTTCTTTTCAATACATTATTTACATTTTTCTCGGTTTTTTTTTTATCTCTTCTTTTTATAATTAAAAAAGCATAATTTTATCACATAAATAAAATTTCTCAAATAGTAAAGACGAAACTACACTCTGACTCAATGTATTTTTTTAAAGATTGTATTAATATCTCTCTAATATTTGAATGATATTTTTTAAAAATTGAAAAGAAGTTACACGTATTTTCACTTTTTTTTTAGATACACTCAATATCTTTCCGTTATTTTAAGTTTTATGTGAAACTCGTAAAAAACATGTTATATTTGCACTCCTCGTATTTTTTTGAAATTACATCCAATATCCATATGTTATTTGGATCTATAGTGAGATCCCTTAACCAATAAGTATTTAAAAATGATTAGACAATAACATTGACTAAAAACAATAATTCAAAATTTTAGAGGGATAAAAAATAAAATAAAAAATATGAAAATTAAAATTAAAACTTACTCATTTTACAAGATTAAAAAAATATATTTATGTTATTTCATAAATATAATAAATAAATTTATAATAATCAACCAATATTCAATGGTTACACTATTTTTTTTTACTCCAACACTTAATAAAAATTGTGTTTTGTTTAAAAATAATAAAAATAATAGTGGAATAGAGGCACTTCTTGCCTGCCTATATGTATTTTGTTTAAAAATAATAAATAATAAAAATTGCTGAATGTAAATAAAAGTAAGATAATACATAATTAAAAAAGAGTAAAATAATCTTAAACAAAATTGAAGAACAAAGATAGTTATAAAAATAAGATGATAGTTATTATTAATATAGTGAATAATTAATTTTTGAGTAAATTACATTCACAGAGTAATATTGAGTGTAATCCAAAAAAAAAAATACATAGAAAATGTAAACGTAATATCTTTTCAAATTTTAAAGATCTCAATTATAAGTCTAAATAATAAATAGGTATCGAATGAAATTTAAAAAAAATATAAAATTACGAAAAAAAGTTTCAATATAAGTCTGATTATCATGTAAAAAAAATAGAAAGAGTGGAGTGTAATTTACTCTAAAATAAAATTATTTGTCACTTTGTTATTCCGCGTCATCTGAAAAATTTAAAACTAGTTCTAGCAGTATTAACTAATAGAGTGGGTTAGTTGTTGTAAACTTTTTTTTCTTCTTATTTTAATTTCGAGTTTTATAAATAAATAAAAAAGCAATATTATTATCCCCGCTGCAAATTAGCTAACAATACGACTTTAAATAAAACATGGGTTCTAAAAACAGGCTTATTAATTAATTTATATTATTCCCTCAATGCTATAGTGAGGGATGCATTTAGGAGTTAGGGTATACATTATACATGACGTTATATGGAAAATGGAAGCAATTGATCCTTGATCTGTTTCATTGCTTCGTGCATATAAATAAATGAAAAAAGAAGAAGCAGGCATTGTAGAACCCCACATGTAAGTTATGTGGCAGCATTAAGGGACAGAATGTAGGGGCATGATGCCCCCCAAATTGCAATGTTTTTAGAATATGAGAAATAAAAATGATGATTATGATCGATCGGAGCGTTGATCGAAAATCAAACGGGTAGCATGATGTCCAAGATTCCAAGGATGGATCTATTTGACAATAATGGGCATTGCATTAGATTAGAGGTCCCATCATCATTTCCTAATCTTTCTTTGATTTACCACTTATCTTTGTAGGTGGAGGGACAGTGACCACATCCAGTTAATACAAATTAAAGTAGTTTTACATCTTCAAGTAACTTCAACAATAATACATATATAATTATAATTATATAGCTCAACAGTTTTCGTCAGATTAATGGAGGGCCACGTCTGCATGCCTATTTCTACATCTCAAGGAATCTATATATATACGCTGCATGTACGTAGCTTTGTACTACATCACCATTCAATTCAACTTTCTCAATCATGCTATCTTTTCCGCAAAATACACAATTATCTCTTCAAATTAATATTATACCAAATTACAGTGGTGCACATAAGTAATATATTTTAATAAAAAAATATTTACCTTTAGTTTTAATAAAATTTGTATCGTTAATAACCATATTATATACGAGCTTTGGTTAACACAAGGCTTTAGCTTTAATTATCTATGCACGTGGAAGACTATTACTCTCGCAACATTTTCTCACTTGAGTGAGGAGAGTTCAAAAAAAATGGTGGAATTATATTTTTTTTTTCTTTTTCCCAGAGACCAAACGCGGAGAGAGAGAGAGAGATCTTTGATCCATTTTCAGTCTAAAGACTTTCTTTTTCTTCTCTTTCAAAAAAAAAATGACAAAAAGAGAAAAATGAAATAAAACAAAAGTGACGGAGTCTCACCATGTTGCTTCTCTCTCTCTCTCCTCCATTTTTGACCACGCGTTCACTAATCACGGCGTTACTATCTTCTATCTTCATTTACTTTACATTTAAATGCGTGTTTGTGGCATTCAATTACAGAACTTCAAATAAATGTAGCCACACAATAAATCTTTAAATGAAAAATAAATTTTGAATTCAGAAAATGATACTTGAGGGCCCATCTTGTTCACGTTAAAGGACTCTGAAAAGTTTGTCCTTGCTATAGAGCAAGAAATTGGTAGTTTTTAATTAAACAAATTAATAAAAGGCTACAGTATTGTTACACATCTAGAAGGCTTTTAGAATTGGTAATAATCTTCAATTATAATAAATAGAAATACTATTTACATCATAAAGCTAAAATGAGATTCCAAGTTCCAACTGATAAAGTTTAAAATGAGCTGAAGGACTCATTAACGCGAGAAAATAATTTGACAAGTGAATTATATTACATAAATATATTTCGTGTACACCTAGAAGACGTGAGAAAAGGTGTACATGTTTTGGTATAGATTTGATTATATTATATAGGGGGCAAATACAGACCATAGGTATATAAAAAAGGAAAAAGCATATAAATATTACACGTACAAATGACAACGACCGCCATATATTCTTCAAACCAAGTTGATTATTATTTTGAAGATTATTAAATTTCATTTATTATTGAATGGCAAGGGGGCCTTGCAAATAATAATAACAATAATAATAATTAAGGCCAAAACCTTCATTCGTAATTATTTTCTAGTTTCGTTTTGTCGTTCAACTGATTCAGCTATGCAGCATAGATGAATCATAATCTCAAGAAAAATGTTACAGGAAAGCAATCATCCAAAAGCAGAATATAAAGACTTACATGATAAATATCACGATTTTCCTTCTGCATCTTTTAGCAGAGCAAGACTGTGAAAGATTCCCTCAGCTTTTATTTTTCCTTCTAGTATATATAGACATAGTATTATATAATAAATGATTAGTAATATATACGGGTCAAATCTAAATGACTTGTAATAAGCTCATACATTTCTTCTTTCTTCTGCTATGTATATCATTTGGCATATACTAGTTTGATGGGTTTACCGTCAAAAGAGTCATTTCTCTTTATGTGCATAAATCTAGATATAATATTCACGTATTTGTATTCGTTTCTTGATGCGTATAGGAAAGCTAAACTTGGCCGTTCTCTTTTCATTATGCAATTCAACAACCATCACTCTAATTTGATTGCTTGCCCACCTCATTATCCCCTCCCAAAAAAATAATAATTAGAATAGAACAAGATATTAATATTTTTAATACACTTATTGTTATTTTAATGTATCATGCATTCATTAATAATATAATAACTAAGTAATCAATACATGTTTAATGGTCATATAATATTAGTATAATATTTTTTATATATTATCAGTTAATTAGAAATTACTATTGATATAATTGTTTTAAAAAAATTATTATAAAAACTAATACATTTAATATTAAAAAAATTATACTTTCATGACAGCTATAGATAAAGTTAAGATATATATAGATCTTGTTTGTATACAAATTTGAAAATTTCTTACAAATTTAAAGAGTATTTTTCATCTTACAATTTTTTTTTTTTTTTTTTAGTTTGAGTTGCACTTAAATTCATATTCTAAAGTTACCTTACATGATATTTTTTTTTAATTTTTTTATAGGATTGAGTTGGGTAAAACTTAAGTTACAAGACTTATGATAGATGATTATTGGGTAAAAGTATTATATTTTGCCAATTGATATATCTCCATTGGAGAGTAGGAAACGAAAAGCAGAAGTGTCACATAGTTTGACCATTGGAGGGTGCATGAGCCAATAGCCATGTCTACCCCACTCTGATATTTTCCAGATGAAACCGCAAGCCAAAGCAGGCTCTTTTTGAAGAGAAGGAAAAGGCTAGAGAACCATCCTTTTCTTCTCTCCCTCCGGCCCCTCCTTTTCACACTCTCTCTTTCTGTTATCCTTTTGTTTTTCACTTGTGAAAACCCTAACACATTACACAGGACCAAAATCTCAAGAAGCAATCCAAAGTCACAACTCACAACTCAACCCACACCTTCTCTCTGCAAACTGCAACTATTAAATATACCCTTCTTCACGTATACTCACTCGATCACACTGTACGGGTCCAAGACGTGTGGGTTTGTGTTGCTAGTACACTCTATCTTTTTCTTTCTTTCTATCTTTCTCCCATAACCATAACCACAAATACCCTCTAAAGCAAATCTCTCTCTCCCTCACGTCTTGCCATTTTGAGCACTCATGGATTCGGGAAACAGTGGGAGCATGCAATCCTCCAGCACCGGCGGTGACGAAGAGTACGATTCACGCGCCGACACCTCAACAATCTCCGCCTTCCTCAACAACAATAATGTTCCACCGCCGCAACCAACCACAACGTTTGCACCCTTCACCCACCACGTCTTGGACCCTTTGTCTTCCAATTACTCCGATCCCACGCAAAGATCGCACATGCTGTGGTCCAACGTTTCCAGATCCCAACCCCATCCCCCCCACAACAACCAACCTTTTCTGTTAACTCAATTCGGAGGTCAAACTCAACCACGAGGAACCCTCAACAACGTTGGTGTTGGTGTTGGTGTTGATGGTGATGGTGATGGTGCTCATGCTTTTCACACCACCACCAGTACTCTCCCTCCAGAAAGTGATGAACAAAACAGTACCAACACCAACACAAACAGTAACATGGTTCGAAACCCGAAGAAGAGGTCAAGAGCTTCTAGGCGTGCACCTACCACTGTTCTTACTACGGACACCACAAATTTCCGAGCCATGGTTCAGGAATTCACTGGCATACCAGCACCACCTTTCACTTCCTCACCTTTCCCGAGAACCAGGTTAGATCTCTTTGCCTCTTCTTCTTCAACCATAAGATCCACTTCCACTCATAATTTAGATCCTTCAACGCCTCCTTATCTTCTTCGGCCCTTTGCGCACAAAGTTCAATCTCAACCCTCTTCAATCCCACCCATGTTAGACACCTTAGCTTCTAACATTTCAAACAATAATACCTACCACCCTTTGAACATGCACAACCCAATTCTGAGCCTGCTACAGCCACCCCCAAAGTACCCTCAACAACCCTCCTTGGAAATACCGCAAAGTGGTGTTGGGTTTGAAGAATTAGGATTGAGCCATGCGCACGTTGGTAATGCTGCTCAGCATCATGATCATCACAACATCCATAACAACATGCGTGCTCCTTCTTCTGAGGCCTGGGCCCAGGCCCAGGCCCAGGCCCAAAGAATCGGAAACAATGATGGAGGAGTTTTGAGGTCTCTTGGTGGCGGTGGCACTCTAAACGGAAAGGTTAACTACTCATCGGATTTTCATGGAGAAAAGGGACCCGATTGTGCTGTGGCTGCGAGAAGCGAAGGTATGGTTGAATCGTGGATTAATTGTTCTTCTGATTAAGAAGAGAACCATCAAATGGGAAAAGAATATGAACAAAAAAAAAAGGTGAAATTTCAACTCATGGTAGTACAATGCATGAGAGACAGAATCTTGGTATCCACTACAGCTTAACCATGACCATCCAATTAATTGAAAACTTTTTTTTTTTTTTGGAAGAAAAAAATCTTGGGTTCTTTGGGTGCAGTATTAGAATTATGCGTAAATAAGTAGCAGCTATCTTGTCTTTTTTATTATTTGTTTTCTCAATTGGGCTTTTGATGAATATTATATATATATACAGCCATATACGAAAGAATCCTTGGAGAGGTTTCGTTTCGACGTTTGTTTCATAATTTGTGTCTCTATCTATAGCTACACAATGGCAAAAGAGTTTGTTTGGTGTCACTGTATATGGATTTTGGTTTTGACTTGTGTGAAATTACGGTTCAGAGAATGTACAATGTGCAGCATAGGTTGAAGAACACAGACAAAACTGTATGTATCCTCTCTTTTCATGTTTTTGTCGCACCTTATATTCTGATTTTACCTCTAATGTTTGTTTGCCATTTTGTCTGTTTTCTTTCCTCTATTCATCTTCTGTTCTTCTACACCTTTATTCTTTTTTTTTTCTTCTTTCAATTTTTAATTTGCCGCCGATTATAAAATTGTAGATTCTAGGAGTAATTGGTGGCAAGATTTGGGGGATTGTGAGTCGCCGCAATCTCGTTTCATCAAAATCAAAGATATCTTCATGTGTTTTTCAAACATTTCTATATTATATAAACATGTACTATCTGGGGGCACCTTTAAGAGTTATAGAAATTATTATTATAAGGTAAACTAAACACAACTAATGTACATTGGTATATACATCTATTAATTATCTAGTGGAATGCGTGCTTCTGGTTCTTTACATTCACACCTTCAATGGAGTATATATATTTTATCAAAAAAAATGTGAATTATTTTCTATTTATAATAGGTAGTATATGATTTTTTTTAATTAAATTTTCAATACATGATTAATGACTCTGTTATTTTATTAACTTTGATATATAATTGATCACAGGCTTAGTGTGTTTTATATTAAAAGTTTAAGCAATTAAACTATCAAAATTAAAATTTAAAACTGAGTTACTTCTAGTTGTATGCTAAAAGACCAAATAAAAGATGAAAACATATTATAAAAACTTTTGTTCATATGGTCAATAATTAAGGGGATTAATTTATATTTTGATTGGGGAATGATTAAGGTATCAAAGTGATTTTTTTGTAACACTTAAGATTATCAATTTGTCTTTAATGACTTTTAATAAATAAAATGTTTATTGCATTATCACAACTCAGCAAAACTCTTGTGTTTATCTTTAATTTTATACTTTTCGAAAGAAGAAATACAACATTTCACGAACACAAAAATTCAAGCTTGATAGTTACTCTTTTTTTTATTTTATATATATATAGATTTTTTAATCGAATTTTAGGAATATTTCATGTATATATCTCATCTATGTGCGCCCAACCACTGAACCATTCCAAAATATGTAGGCATGATGTGCCAATAGAAATTGGTGATGTGGCCAGCTGAACCAATTAATATGAATGTATTAAAATAAAAATATTATTGGCTGAAAAATGATAATGAGAAAAGCACCCATTGATTTAGCTCTATGCTCTCCATCACTTTTTGTCTGTTTTCGATTTCACACCATAGTCCGAAGGAAAGAGAAAAGAAAAGTCGTACGCGTGCATGTTCTATTACACTCATGAATAAGACTTTTTATCTTGATGGATTTAATGCATGTGGGATCTGGAAGGAAGGTCTATAATATGGTTTCAAATTAAAAGTACTAGCAGTAGTAGTTGTAGGTAGAAAGAAACCACTCAATGGAATTAGACTTTGATGGCGTGGTTAATTCTTTTCTCTGTAGGTGGTTGGAGTCCATGAGTAGGTCCTTAATCCATCTCTTTGGTTAGAATAATAATTGAGTTCAAAGTTCGATAATATTTTTAATGCAGCTCAGTTTCAAATTTGTTAGTAGCAGTAATTCAATTCGTTGAAAAATCAAAGTCAAAGACCATTTCCGCTAGCGTCGTGAATCGTGATCTGTCTACACAATACATATGGTTCTCATTCTCCCAGCCAAGACAAACGAGGGAAATTTCAAATAATCAAACAAAATAATTAACATTCCTATTTACAAAATTCATTGTTCAAATTTCAAAGAACAAAAGAATGGCCAAAATATCAGTGAAAGTCAAATGGAATATTCATGGAAACAAAATGTTGAGTGAATAGTACTAACATAATTTTGTGATATTAATTTTATTAAATATAAAATAAAGTATATCTTACTAAAGATTTTTAGTAATATTTTTACAAATTAATGACAATATTTTTAAAATATTATTGATATTTTGCAAGATTTTAATAATGTTACTAAGTTTTTGTATACATTATTAAATGATAATTAATTTTGATATTGATTATTTCATCACTTCTAGTTTATGATTCAAATTTACAAGTTTTTTAAGGTTTAAGATGTCTTAATTTAATTACTAATAAATATATATTATATATTAAAATTTATTTATTTTAAGTTTCACTATTAACTATACATATTCTTTATGTGATATTCTTTTAATCTATGTGTAACTTTAATTTTGAAAAATAATTGAGATTAATTGAAAAAATATATTAAGAATAATATTGAAATAAAAAAATGTTATTCAATCTATAGTAATATTTTTTTGAAAAAAAATATTTCAATAACCTATTAATTTAATTTATAATAACATTTTGATAAATGTAAGTAGAAAAATATTATTAAAAATGATAATTGTAGTAGTAAATTATTTTACCGTGATTAATTATATCTTTTATTGATGAAAAGAAGAAGAAAAAAAGTTGTCTACGATAAATAATATACATTGATGCTGATACGTCCATTTCTATGTGCTCCAATTAATTTAATTCACCTATACATGTCTTCTATTAGATTTTATATACCCATTGGAGGGAAATATGTAGCGACGACCTTTCTTTTATAAATACTGACTTCTAGCTAGTTTACCTTACACATGACTTTGGGTTCAATTGAATAAACCTCTTTTTCTTAAAAAAGTAATATACCTTGATTTCCTTAAAAACTTGTAGTATTGAAAAACTAAAAATGTGTTCTTCGTAGTTTGTTCTGGAACATTTAATTATCATAGTTTTTAATATATATAAAAAAAAAACGAAGTATAGGCTGTTAGTGGTTAAGTTATAGCTCAGAAAGATCTGCAACCAATCTACAGGAAAAAGAAGTGAAAAGTATTTTTTTGATTCATTGAAGAAGTGAAAAAGTATAACTATATGTATCTTTATTTTATTTTAATTTAAAGCATATATATTGTGTTATTGGCATATCAAAATTTGAGACTCCATATATATACACTCTTAAATACACAAATAACCATCTTTCAAAATCAATTCTGCTTAGAACTGCTCATGGCCAAAGCAAGGGTTTCAAGAGCCGCATTGTTTTCTATATCTATTTGTCATCGTCTACCCCACTCTTTAAAGCGCGTTTAAATCTGAATTCCATCTTTTTGTCTAACATCATTGTGACAAAAGAAACCCTTAGTATCTTAACACATGCATTGCAACCCCGCATATATTAATGTTCAATTATGAAAATTTCTGAAACATATTATTTGCCTAGAAAGAAAAGAGTTGAAATTATGGAAAAGTTCTTATGCTTCAAACACTCCTCAGTTGGAATCGTTAAAATTTGTGGAGTTAAAGTGACTTTGTCTTTGCATGAAAAGGCCGGTCGGTGGTATATATTATCCTTCCAAAAGTTGGTAATCCTTTTCATTTCATTGATTGATATATCATGATCTTTTTCATTTCACCTTTGGTTTAAAATTATAATGATGAGACATGAGAGAGAGGAAGATATGTCCATGCCGGATGGCATTCAAATTTTTTTGAATCTTTTTAACTTTTTTTTGTAAAGGTGAGACATGAATCATGGAAAAACCAAGAGGGTTTACTTTCACAAAAGGGACGGATACACTTTTTTACATTAATAAACTTGGAAGACTTTATGAAAATTTAAATAAAAGTCAAATGATTAGGCATCGGATTTTGGGAGATTTGTTAGGGGCAACCAAACCTTCTGTTAGATTTTTTTTTTCACTAAAAAGTTGGTGAGTAGGATTTTGAAGGTTTATAACTTAAACAACGTTTATGCAATACATAAACATGAGAAATGTTGACGAAATTTTTTTTCTCTTTTTAATATTTTCTTTATTGTTGGGTATAAATTATTAAAAATTACAAATTTTGTGAATGTGACATATGATTTATTAAGTTTTTCTTTTTGATTTAGCTAGTGGTTGGATGACATGTCAAAAGTTTTGATTTTCAACTAATATTGAAAAGTATTAGTAAGAGACCGTTAAAGTGAGTGTTATTTGCATTTTCTCTTATACATTACTCACTAATATTTTTATATTGATGAAAATTGAATTCAAATAAAATGAGTTAGTTTCTAATCAACTAAACCAATTTTTTATTTTCTATTTTTTTTTGAAGATTTGATGTCTGTGACTTTTGACATTTTGCTTAGGGCCCATGCCAATGAACAAAACTTTCACTTGCTCTTTAGCAATGATGGCTGTTCTCATCACTCTCTCCCTACACCATCAGGGCTACAGGCATTTCCTAAGGCTCAAACAGTGAACCAAACTGGCAAAAGGCTTCTCACTCTTTCTCTCTCTCCAACGAGCAAACAAGCACAGTGCCCTACAATTTTGAGCCAAAACTCAAAAAGATAAACAGCTTTAGACATCCTCGCGAATAAGGCTGCACTATTTTTCCCTCTTTGCTTGAATCCAGTCCTTCACAGGGAAAAGCATCAATCCAATTATCCAAGTACCTTATTCCTTTGAAAAAGACAAACCACGAGATATCATTTAAATTACATTAAACATAGTGTCTTGTCCCACAAATCTAGTTCTAGATTTCCTCACTCGTGATTCCAAGCATTAACCAAGGAATTAACACTTTTCCATGCCTACGATTATGGAATCGTGCTGTTATACACTATGCCCTTCATTTACTTCCAATATCTTATATTATTTCTCCATCATGCACCCTATATCATGTATATATGCATGTGTAACACATACTACTACTACATATGCTAAAACAAAACAATATCCCCCGTTCCATTATTTTGTCCACGTTCTTCTTTCCTTTTTCTTGTTCATTTCCTTAAAGAATTCTTGCAAGACAGATAGCATATATCCAATCCAGCCTCTAAAGTTTATTTTATGGATCGAATTGATGCTTCGTAGATTTTCGTTTTTAGGAACATTCCTGAACTAGTCTGCTGTTGATGCATATAAGTTAAAGAAAGATGGCCCCAGCCCGAAGTGGTAAGTTTCACTCACGAATGAAATTGGTCATTTTTAGTCATTAGTCAACTTACAAATTTAGCATTTGTTTTTGGCACATCTTGAAGATCGATCAGGACCACCATGAAATTACTTATCATCCTACATATATAGTTTAAGATGATTAATT